GGAAGAGCGCGGAGATTAACGAAGATTTGCCGGCACCAGTTCGTCCCACTACACCGATCTTCCAGCCAGGCTCGATAGAGAAGTTCAGATTCTGCGAAATAATGCACGGATGAAATATATGACGTACATTTAATTGTAATAAAGTAAATTGCTTCTCCCACCTTCAAGATAAACGGATCGTTCTTGTCGTACTTCATGCTGACATCCTTGAACGTTAATTGCCCTTGGGCTGGCCACGTAGGCGGCGGAGGGTCGTCCGAGGTAACAGCTGATTCCGCGGGAAGATTTGTATACTGGAGAATTCTTTCCACAGCTGTCATCAGCGAAAAAGTCTCGGCTATCTGTTTTACGCCGTATTGCATACCGCTGGCCAAAATTAGTGATTGCGAAATTGCTAAACCTACGTTGCTACCAGATACATTGCCTAAAAATTAACAAAAAACAATTTTTTTTTTTTTAACTCGAAGATTACCAATTAATTAACGATAAAATTAACTTGGAAAAATATTATTGACAGTCTGTAGTCTATTCTCACTCCTATTGTAAAATAAAATCAACATCTTTTTTCTGTAAATTTTAACAGATAAATTCTATCACTAATAATACGAAATATATCCACTATGTAAAATTAAAAACATGTGCACATTGTTTTATTCTTAAACTATTTTTATTTGTTTTAATAATTTAACATTTGGATTCTATTAACACAACAGCAATATGTTAAATTAACACATGAAATGTTTCACATTTTAAATATTTAATACAAAAATTTTAACCGGGATATTTTTTTACAAGAAAACACAAATTTTCCAACAGTGTAGCTCATTTATCTGCTCCAAGGACGTTAGAATCCAGATATACTGGCGTTCAATGAATCTAATAATTCTAAATTATAAAAGTTATGTGAGAACTTCAAAATCAAAAGTTCGATTTTGATGATTTAAGAAACATCTAAGAAAAATATTGCTGTATATGCCATAAACTTCAATGAACGGTTACTTTTCTGAATACTTACTTATTCCTTCAAGACGTTTGACACTTTGTGCAATCCTAAGATAGAACTTTGTTATCAAAGAAAATAAAATAGTCAGTATCACTATCGGTATTATCATCCACCCATTAAGTATCGACACCATGATTAGTATAGCCAATATTACACTGCTCATCTGAAGTGCCTCTAGCATTATTACGGGTAGCAGCTCGTCTATCACGCCAATGTCCTTTGAAAATCTATTTAAAATTCGACCTGAAAAAATTTATATTTAGGTGATATCTAAAAAAAAGAAACTATAAAAAATATAAAAGTTTTAAAATATATATATGATTTGATTTTTATGTTCCAAGAAAAGTAAAATTATTATATATAATAATTATTTCAATAATTGTAATTTTTATTGTAATGCTACAGAGATACGTGATTCAAAATTTATTTTTGTCAATCATCATATTTTAATCTATCGCAGATAAACATAGGAATCATTATAATATCGATAATACTTGTGAAATTTAAAAGAAAATATTTCAATTCTTTTGTTTTCAAATTCAAAATAATCCAAATTTTAGAATTATTATAATTCTCTTATCTGACATATTTGTCTTTGTTTATATTATTCTTCTTTATTCATTTCATTGCTGCGCTTACCGGAAGGATTGGTGTGGAAAAAGGACATGCGCGCCGGCAACAAATTGGAGAACATAGTGTTGTGCAGGTTGATGCTGGAGTTCATGCAGATCTTCATAAAGAGGAAGCTGCGGAACAATGTGGTTACGGTGCAAGTGGCAATGCAGAATGTGTAAACGTATATGGCGTCTATGGTACTGAGCAGACCGTCAGAATTCAGGGTGAAGATCGATGCCAGGAAGCTGTCGTTACGCGTGTCCATGTACTTTTTACTGAATTGAATGGCGTCGACATTGTCTTCATTTTGCCTGAGCTCTTCCACATCGGTCCAGTACGAAACCCAATAATCGTTGCCGGTGGTAGCGACCTGGCTGATGACGAAGAATAGCAGCAGCACGAACAGAATGAAGTAGTTGCCACCGTAATGAAAATATTTTTTGTACACTTTGCTGGATATCTGCCCGTGCATCATTGCTTCACCGTCCGGATTGTTTTGCACGTAATCTGAATCGTCGATGTCCGAATACTAAACAGAAAGATTTTCACTTTGACAAAAATTGACTCAATATAAATCGAATAATTGGATATATATACTCTGTTCGCGCAGCTATATTAAATATCAAAGATATTTAATATAGTTTTGCGCGGTATAAAATCAGAATAAAGAAAATCTAAGTAAACTCAGACTCTCTAATTTATACATTATTTATACACATCTCATTATTACATTATTTGTGATTTTATACCGCGCAAAGCTATGTTAAACATCTTTGATAATTAATACAGCTGTGCGAACGGAGTATATAGTTCTAATAATTCGATTTATATTGAGCCACTTTTTTGTCTAAGAAAAACAATGAGAAAACATGACGAGTCAACAAATAGTGATTGTCTTACAACGATGGAGCTTGCAATCGTCACTTCCGAAGTACGCCTGAATATCGAAATATTCTTCGAAGACATTTCCGAGATTCTTCTCGCGTTTTCTTCTTTCTTTTGTGTTTCATGGCTTGTCGTCAATTCATTCATCATCTCAATGAAATCTTTGCTTGATTTCACCAATTCGTTATAGCTTCCTTGCATCTTTACGAAACCCTTCAAAAGCAAAATTAAACAGATTATATAAAGAATATTTAACTCTCTTATTATTAACATATAATCTTATAATAAATAATAATATTATATATTTTTTTCATTATCTCTTGATAAAGGAATTTCTTGTTAATACTAGTATTAATTAATTTTATTATTATATGTGTTAGTTTTAATGTGCGCATTTATTTATTTTTGATATATGAATTATTCTCTTATGAATTAAATATATTACTTTATGAAAATATAAAGCAATTAGAAAGAAAAAGGATCAATTAATTTGATAAAATATGTGATTAATATTTTTGCCAATCGACAATACTAAGTTCTTATATTTTTTCGATAAAATAAAATTTTTATATGAAAGATTTGAATTTAATTTTTCGAGTTGGAATAGAAATTGAATGGAAAGAACAATTTGGATGATTGAAAATCTGATTCAGAAATCTTTACTCGACACTCACTCGATTGCATATAATAGAAATTATAATTTTTTAAATAAAATATTAAAAATTATAATATAAAAAAATATTTGTTTAAAGATAAAAAATTATCTATTAAAATAAAGAGAAACTATGTTTTACATATTAAACAAGCAGCCAAAAATTAAAAAATGTTTTTTAACGGAAATAATTTAGTAATTAAATAAACAATTTTTTGAAGTCAGAAGATTTTTTTGGTATTTAGTACATTTTCTTTCAGTGTACCTCATTGTATCTGACTCTGTCGAAGGGTTGGCCAAACAATATATTATCCTTTACAGTGCCACCGAAGAGCCAGGGTTCTTGGCTGGCGTAGGAGATGCGCAGATTCAAGTTGTCCATGTGATAACCGTTAACCATTTTATCGTAAGAAACATTATTCGAAGAGTCATGCGTAAAAACCACGGTACCCGCGCCGGGATTCAGCTCTTTCAGCAGCAGATGGAGGACGGAAGACTTACCGGAACCCACGGGGCCAACCAAAGCATACAGCTCGCCCGGGTTGATGATCGCAGAAACATCGCACAATGTCGGTGGCAGTTGACCATTGATCCAGTTTGCGGAGACGCGATGAAGCTTCACGCAAACTGGACGGCTATGATACAATTCCTGCTCGGAACTTTTATTGTTGGAGATGTCTATTTGATTGTTTGTAACAGTCGCTTTGCTCACTTTTTCGTCTGTAGGCAAACGCGGCGTTCCTTTAAAGCATTCCTTATTTATTTCGTCCATCAGCAGAAGATCCTGTGTGTTGAACGCTTTATTAGTCATTGGCCAAATACGTAAGGGCAAAAAGTAGGAGAATCGATTTATAGTGCAATTCAAAATGCAATAACGTACTTCCAATCGATTTAAAGACACCATCGTTTCGCCCAATAATACGAGGGCTTGCGGAAAGTACAAGGCCGCGGTGAGTTGAAGAACGTTGAAAAATGATGTAAGAGTGTAAGTTACATCAGCATTCAGATTATTTCCCGATAATACGAACATTATTAATGTAAAGTAAAGAAGGAGCCTTTCGGTAAACACTATGATAGCCAAATACAAAGCACGCACGTACGATGAGAATTGAATCTTCTCGATTTCCAGCGCTCTCGTTATCGATACAATCTTGCTGAACGGTTTTTCCCAGGCGTACATTTTTATCACCTGAAATGAAAAAAGAATTAAACGAGAGTTTGTGGATTTTTTTTGGTAAAATTAAAAAAAGAAGTTATTTTAAAATTTTAAATTCATAAAATTTATTTAGAATTGTAAATAAAATAACAAATATAAGATATTCCAGAGGTACCTGTATCCCAGCTATAAGCTCGTTCATCAGCTGCACTCGTCGATCGGTCAGTGGCGCAATCTTGGCCCTTATGTTACGGCTTAGCAAACTGAAGGTTCCCTGTATCGGTAGGCTGATGATCAACAATAAACCGATGCCAACAAAAATCGAGACACCGATTTTATGCCACATTAGGTATCCCACAATTATGACCTAGTAAATAGAGAAAAACTAGTAACTTTTTAATCGGTAACTTTTTACTATATAAAATAATGTCTAGGAAGATAATGAATACATTCGAAATTATGCTGCGTTCTTATAACATAAATTTCAGTTTTATTCTCATTTGTATCTCAGAGGAAAGAAATAAGAGACAAAAGTGTATATAGAAATAGAAATAAAAATACTTTTTTTAAACTATAGCAAGTAAAATAAATGTATTTATTAATACTGTCTACGTAAATAATTAATTAGTTTAAGAAATAATAATTAAAGAAGACATAATCGCAAGATATATTTTTTGAAAATGTTTACTTGTTTCTGATTTTTTTACATACACGAATAATTTTTGCTAAACGAAACGTTACCTGAAAAGGCATAATCCATATAAAATTCAGACACAATGATAATGAATCGAATCGATTGACATCGTTGCTGAGAAGATTCACAATCTGTCCAGCACCGGTTTGGCTTAAAGATGTTTGATTCAATCGCAATATCTGCAATAGTTTCCAAAACAATTACACGATTTATTACTGGGAATAACTGTATTTCTTAAACACACAAATCAAAATTGTTTTTTCTCATGCTGTCAATTTCTTTTTTCTCAAATAGGTAGCATTATGTAAAAATAGGTAGCATCATGAACTAGTCACTATTTATAAAATGACCATTTATTTTAAAAGTTGAGCTATCATTAAATTTAACTTAAAATTTAACTTTGATTTATAAAAGCCAGTAACACAAATAATTATTTTTCTTCTTTCTTAAGTTATTTAATATAATATTATTCGAATAATGTAGCTTCTCGCGATTAGAAGATAGAAAACAACGAGGCATTTTTATTGTGACGGATAAATTTTTTTTTATTTAATATTTTTTTCTACCTACGTGGCTTATTGCATTTGGAAGGATAAGTGCACATTTAAAAAAGAATGCGTCATTCCTTTATACATATTCGCGACGGATTTCAGCATTGAATGTACGTCAAGCGTTATCGACCGAAGTCGAAGGATACATTTAATGAAGAAGATAACAGTTGTTTGTTATTTCTGTTAACAATAGTTGACCTATTATTATAGTCTTTTAATAATTTTGCATTTACATGCTACGAGAATTTACGAAATAGAAATCAAAGAAATTTAAATCAGACGTTCAAAAATCAACGAGACATTATTGAGACAACAAGATATTATTGATAAATGATTGATAAATGTTTTAATTTATAATTGCATGCATTAATAATTACATATTAATAACAATAAATCGCACATTATTTTATTATATATGATATAAAGTATATGAATTTGTAGATTATAATTACTAATATAATTACATATGTTTAATACATATATATGTGTGTATATATATATATATATATTTGCATGTCTTTTTCCTAGAATCATGAATATTATAAATAGTCTGAATAGGTATCGTAAATTCAATGTGTATAGCAACCCATTTCTTTAAAAACTGAAGAAATCTCATTTAAATTAATTTTTCCAACAGTAAAATCAGTTTCTTTCGATTTTACAAAAATTTCATTACATCAATGATTTATACTGATGAATCTTTCGTACTGAACTTTTTCAATATTGAAGCGTGATCACGCAAGGTTTAATCAAAATCGCACAATAATCGGTATTGATCCCGAGATACCATTTATACTCAGAAAGAACAGAATCTTTCTATTCTTCCGTAGAAAAATTTTTAGATTATTGTATTGAGGCTTAAAACTTATTTAAAACTTATATAACATTACCTTTCTGTAGATGAGGGAGCTGCAGGCAACGCGTAATCTCATGCCAAATTGTTGTGACATTATTGTAGTGTGGTTTGACAACAGGGCGCTACTGAAGGTACAGATCACTAAACAAGCGACATAAATCATTGTCTCGTTTTTCCCTATCTTGTCCGTTGAGTTCGGTTTCTCAATGAAATAGCTGATGATCCAACCTTGCAAAATCGGTATTAAAACGCGCAATATGCATATCTAAAAACAGGGGCTCATTGAGATTAATATTCCATGATGTATTTATATAAATCTTTAACGTAATCTTTTATTAATCTAGAAAGAGAAAAAATCTAACTTAATAAATATTTTCCTGTAAATTGCGGGAATACATTTTTTTCTCATTTCTTTTCTCTTCTTTTCAACGCGAAAACTGTTAACGCGGACGATACAGGATATTTGATTAATTGATTTTCTCATTTGGTATCATGTAACGCTAGCAGATATTGTTATGCATTTGGTGCTTTTTTTTACTAATAGTTTTCACCTGTATAAATACATAGATTCCGATAATGAAATATGGCAACCAAAAGGCACCGCAGAGCGCCTTGTATAGTCTCGGACGTGCATTTCCTTTCAACGGCACTTTCTGCCCGTCTTTACCCACAGTATATTCGAGTTTCTTTAGCTTTTCCAATTCGCGATTCCAGTATCTAAACAAACGCATTAGAATGTTAGGCATTTGTGCTTTGAAATAATTTTGGAGAAAAGGAAATTGCACGACAAGTTAGTCAATTCAAAAATACTTTCATAATTATTTCATACTTAAATGAATATATATCTTAAAAGTTTTATGAATTTTGCCAAAAGTCTTTGATACATTTGTGCAATCTGTAATGTAACTGTCAAAGAAAAAGATTTATTCGCTTGAAGATTGTTATGCTTACGATGTTTACAAAATATTATTACATCTCTTAATGAATTAGAGTTCATATTAAATTAAAAATATTCTTTATCTTATTATATCCCGTATTATTAATTATATTATATTATAATTTGATATCTTATTTATCAGTTGAGTTGTTGTTAATTTTTATTAACTTTACTTTCTCTTATTTTATTATTATTTTATTTTTATTATTTCTAATAACAAAAAATAAAGCATTGTAATTAAAAAATGTATGTTTAGTATAATTATTAATAAATTAACTTATTATATTTTTTGTATAGAATATATGAAAACTATAATTATTATAAACGTTATTATTATGTTTGTACGCTTTCAATAAAGGCAAGAAATACTCACTCTTCGAGATGATCTGTGACTTTTTCAGAGTCATCTTCTTTTAAAAGTTGATAAATGTCAGATTCTTTCAGATCTGTCTTTGAGCCTTTTAGAAACAAGTTTAGCGTCCACCTATGCACGCATCGCGAAACAATAATATAAATTTTACTTTAAAATAAAATCTGCGACAAAGATAATTACATAAAATTCTGGAAAAAAATTTTCTGTATAAGAGTTTCAAGAAAAGTTTATTCGCATACATTTAGTATACACAATGTATATACATTATATGTAAAAACATGCTTTACATAATCATTTTTATATATAAATATGTATATATATTTATTTATATTTTACGAATACACTAAACATAAATTTTACATAAATTGCATATTTATCTCAAGTTCGTCAATGTATATGAGTTATACAAGATATAATTCACCAACTATATCACTCTTTCTTTCATCAAAATCGAAAAGTTTTGCTAAATAATCTATGGGGATATCCCATACATATATTATTTCCATCACATATATACTTTACTTTACATACCATGTGTTAATTTAAATATAAATTACTTTAACTACAATATATCAATTAGTTTCCTTAAGAGATTCAAGGTGTTTCAAGAAGTTTTTTTAAAACATAGAACTACAATATATCAATTAGTTTCCTTAAGAGATTCAAGGTGTTTCAAGAAGTTTCTTTAAAACATAGGAAAAAATCAATTGCTTTTAATACACGAAATTGCTTTTAATACACGAACAATGCGATATGATAATGTTCAGCGATTCATATTTGATCTAAAATAATCTAAAATATCATATATCATGATAGTTATAATTACGATAAATAATAGCTGGAACTGACGTATATAAAAAAAAAACAATAAGGACATGACTAAACACAAATTTTACATAATGTTAATCCTTTTAATTTCTTATCTGCAAAATAGTTCATTAATTTTCTGTTGATGTAATATTAAAAGAACTGTAAAGTGTAAAGTCTCTATTTTAGACGATTTAATCCGTGACAAAATTTAAAATAGAATTTTATTTAGAATGGTATGTGGCTAATATATAGATGTATATCCTAATATATATTAAGTAAAATATGTATTTTATTTCTTTAAATTTTCTGTATTATGTACTTTTCTTTTTTCCTTAAAATTATAAATTTTCTTCAAGAAAGAATTTTTTTCATTAAAGAAAAAATACTTGTCTTTTTTTAACTTTTTTTCTGGTAGAAACTAAAATTCTCTAAAGAATAAAAAATCTCGCATTTCTTTCGCTAAAAATGTATTCGAAATTTTATATTAAATATATACTAACGAACCAGAGAAATAGCTGACTAAAGATATTCGCAGTCTCCTTAGGATTCCGTTTCATGCGAGTTGTGTCCTTATTCATGTTGTTGCACTATCGAAAATCTCAAAATTTCGAAGATTTTACAAGATTCGACAACACTTTAAACTGCCGGAAACAAATTAGAATAATTAATATGTTTATTTTATCTCTTCTTCTTCTCTCTCTCTCTCTCTTTCCTACCTTCGAGACACACTTTCCGAAAGTCAATCCTTTACTGAAATCATTAGCAGTTATGCCGCTGCTTTTCATATTACCTTCAGACATCACTGATAACGTCATACGTGAACACAAAAATATAAATGTCATTTACTTTATATAAATGTAACTTTATATATATAACGCATGTAGATTTTTTTTCTAGGTTTTTATATATATTTTTTGCAATTTTTTTTTGTTTTGATATTATAACTTTTGCAAAGAAGATATGGTAAAATTGCGTAAAAAATTACACCACATCGATTTTATTGCCATCTAAATATGTTGTAGGAGAGGTTCTTCTGAATAATTTCCCGCAAAAAAAGTAGGAGACGGTATTGATTTAGAAGATACAAGTACTGCCAAAATAATGACTGTTCAGCAATATTTTGAAAAATTATAGCAGGATAGCGAATAGATGAATGCCATATCTCACAACAGTTGCAAAGCTATTTCTGCTGAATGCAAAGTACTATTATATGTGTTATTAGTATGAATAAATTTACAGTTTGGTTTGTTCTGTAATTATAATGTCGCTCTCGCCGGATGCTTTCGAGACACACTTTTCGAAAGTCAATCCTTTACTGAAATCGTTAGTAGCTCTGCCGCTGCTTTTCATATTGCCTTCAGGTATCACTGATAACGACATACGTGAACAAGAATATAAATGTATTGATCGGACACACGTGGACTTAACATTTTTTTTTATTTTTTTTTGCAAATATAATTTTTTAAAGGTTTTCATATATGAGATGCTGGTCGATTTTTTCGATAATATTATATAACCGAGAGAGAAGAGAATGTGATAAAGAAAAAATTACTGCAATATTTTTTCTGCCCTTTTTAAATATTTTGTTGTACTTTGGTTTATTTATTTGGTTTATTTATATACAATATTTTTTATATGCATAATTCACTTCGTAAGCTTACACTATACATATGTAATATTTAACAATCTATACTGTACAACTATATATTTATTTAACATACTTAATAATACAGCGCAGGAGAATTTGTATGACTAATCATGCAAGAAGATGGAAGGATTTCGATTGTAATTAACAATGGATTAACAATAAAGTAATTTGTAAAATATCACTTTAAACCTGAGCTCATTGAATACGCAAAAGTGATTATTTACGAGTGCAAAGATATTCGGACGAGTAAAAATTAATTCGTAAATATATATCTACACATTTACGAATATTTTTTTAATAGTTTAGTAAAATATATATAAATATAAAAAAATATACATATTATATATTTATATATAA